TGTGGCTACCATAATTTTATATATCGCACTGTTTAATATTCAGGACGATCACCCGGTGATTTCAAAGTTCTCTCCAGTTGTTTCAGTGGTTTAATCAGTCTCTGAGGTGACTTGAGTGTCACAGGTTTGTATGTTGACTGATTGTGATATCTGTTCTCATATTAACACTGATGTAAGTGGCTGTCTCTTACTGTCTTGCTGCTTTTCCCTGCTGCTCGCTGTTGCTGTGTTTTCTGCTGGAAGAGACTTTGCCTCGAAAGGAACCTTTGGTTTCAGCGTAAAAGCTTGAACCTGTTGAAATCAATTTTCGCAATTTTATGGGTTGTTTAGAAGACCCTATTTTTACAACAAAGGAGTGGACGAAGCCTGTGGGCTGATAAACACCTTTTAGTGTTTGAGTCCATGTGAGCAGTGATCATGTGAGAATAGAGTAATCAGTACCTGAGGTGATTGTCAAAACCGCTCGGGTTTGGGGCAGAACAAGCTAGAGTTTGATGGTCACTGAAGGTAAGAGAAATATCACGACACACACGAGGAAGTCTTTCTTTACCCAGAGGGTAATTAACGACTGGAACAGGTTGCCAGGAAGGGTGGTTGAGCCCAGGACACTCATTTGAAAACCACCTAAATGCTGTGATCGGGGGATGATTGGATGGGTTTTCTGGAGGCAAGGGATCAGACGAGCTTCACCTGAACTGACCTTATGATTGAAAGAACAACTGCAAATAACTACAACAAGAAGTTACATTTACACAGCACCTTTCACGTCAGGCGGACGTGTCAAGGCACGGGCGAGTGAAGGGTTTGCACCCGAGCTGGGGGTTGGAATCGAGTGGTGGAGGGCAAGAGGGGTGGTGGTGGGAGGATGACGAAAAGCACAGTCAAAGAGGAGAGCCTTGAGATGTACCTTGAAGGAGGCGGAGGGGCTCAGGGATGGAGTTGATCAGTACTGGGTTCCAAACCTTGTTGAATATTATCGTCTGATGTGCAGGGATTTCTCAATGAGAAATCTCATTTGGGAATTTGTGAAACATTGAATGCTTTTCGTCAGAGACTTGTGTGTCAGAAATTCATCATCACACGTTTCTTATTCAGATATCTTGATAGATCCAGCACGGCGGAGCCCGCTGCCTTTCTTAAACCAGGTGAAATGAGGAACCCTCGGGCCTCAGGGTGACATTCCATTCCTCCCCGTGAACAATGTTCCCAGTTTAAATAGTTGTTTCCCTTAAAGGCAGAGAAACAAGTGCTCCGGGACGCTACCCCAGTGAAGGCGCTGTATAAATGCGAGTTGTTCTTTGTTGTAAAGCTGGTCACTTGGCGAGAGTGGGGAGGGGGAGGTTTGCCACACTCTCTCCCCCTCAGTCACTTGTAACTTTCTGTAACTTTTCCTGGCGAATGTAGAAAAGCCGCAGGCAATGGTCAGGCCCCGTAGCGACTGTCACTGGTCAACGTGTTGGCAAACATGGCCTAGGGCTGCAGCAAGCACTACCCTTGCAGCCTCACCGTGTGTTATTTTAATGAAAGGGTAAATGTATCACTTCAGCATCCGAAGCCTGAGAGAAATCAGAACACGTTTACTCTGTGTGTCAGTGCACGGAATGATTCATTGAGCACAAGAAAATCTAATCATGTTGAAGATTATATTGGGTGCGTTGGGGGTGGGTGGGGGATGATGTCTCTCTGGTAATGGACGTGAAAGTATGAAATATTAGTTTGAAACTCGCGGGTGCCAAGGTTAGTGTTTCTCAGAGCCTTGGGAGTTCGGAGCTGAGAAACAAATCTATTTGCCCGCGTCTGCGTCAAACTCAAATTCCACCTGGTCCAAGTGCAACCATTTTAATCTCAGAATTTAAGGTCACCAGAAAAATTCTTAAATGTCTTCCCTCCCCCCAACTGGCGCTGTCTACTTGATGCCCATTCGCTGATCTCTGTGCTGCACAAGCACTTTCTTCTGCTCCGTTAGTTGCAGTTAGTGAGACCCATGGCTTTGATGAAGCGAGTGGGAGGTGGAGGGATGAGAAGGGGGAGAGGTGCGGAAGAGCGGGGAGCGGTTGCTGATCTGCCGTTGGACTATGTTGAAGCCTGGAGCACTGATCACTTCACGTCACTGAGTTTCCTCTATTTCTCAGGGTGGGTTTATGAAGGGGCCAACCCTGACATGCTCCTTGACTCCCTTGTAACCGGTTGGTTGGATACTGTTGATGGTTCGGAGGCCGGGAGAATGGAAACATTGGGCAGAAATGCACTGCCTCTTGGTAGTGGAGCATCAGACAGTGAAGTGTGCGGTGATTTCAGTTGGATGCCTGCCACATGTTGCTCTTTGTCTGAGCTGCTCGGTTGATGTTTGACTCGAGTGATCAGAGGGTGAAAACTAATCACCGCACTTGCTCAACGGTAACTCAGTTGTCGTCAGCTTGGCCTTGGGGCCAGGGAGGTTATGGGTTAAAGCCTCATATCTCACTCTCCAGAGCTCCTTACTCTAAACCCATTCCCCGCATTCTCCCCATCGTGTTTGTGTTGGTGCTTGCTTCCCCTCTGGAGCTCTCTACTCTAACCCTATCCCCTACTTAACTATATCCTTTAGTAATGTTCCTCTCCAGAACTTATCCAATGCAAAGATAATGCTGAAATGTCAAACTTCAAACTAGGTTTATATTTAACACGCTGTGTTAGTGGGAGCCTGGAGCTGGGGAAGATTGGCACCCAGCGTCTCTGTTATCACAGCCAGAGAAGAAACACAGATAATAGAAATTGGATTATTTGTTGAATCAAAATGTAAAACTCTGGATTGCAACAGTGTCCCAATAATGTATAATCATTCCGAGTTTCATCAAATGCAGCTTATGCACATGATCTGGGAGCGTCCAGTAGCCAATCTCATTCCAATAGCCCAGCATAATAAAACAGAGGTTCTCAATACAATACATGTCAGCAGGACCTCTCCATGTGCCTAACAATCCCATTCCCTAACAACCCTATTCCCTAACAACTCCATTCCTTAACAACCATGTTCCTTAACAACCACGTTCCTTTCCCATCCTGTTCCTGAACAAATCAATTCCTTAACAAGCAATCCCATTAGAGTTCCAGTGGCCATGGTAATGTCGCTCTGGAAGTAAATAGCGGAGCAGCGGATCCAGCTTAATTTTTTCCAAGCACCCTCTTCCCCCCACAGCCCCCACCACCTCCCCCGGTTTGTGGATCACATCCTGATCTTAAACCTAATTCACAGGATTGTGGAACCCGACTGAAGGCGTGTGCTCCTGGTTCCCAGCGCCATTGTTAACATGTCCTGGGGTTTCCATAACACCCGGCAGGACTGCAATGAGAGGATTCATCACAACAGGAATTAAACAGGGAGGTTAGAGCAAGGTGTCTTTGAGAGCGGGAGGGAAGGTGGGATTCACTGGTGTTGAGGCAGAGGGCAGGAGATATTTTTAAAACTGAGATTTAGCTGGTTAGATATTTGGAGGGCAGAAATATTTTAAGGGTATGAGCGGAGAGTGAGATTCACGTGGCCAAAACCATCAGCACAGAATGGCCTGTTTCTGGAATGTTCTGCGAATGAGCCATACCTGTGCGTCGCCCACTGCTTCTGATTCTCTTCTGTCTGGATTCTCTCCAACTCTCGCTCGGCTGTTCCAACTGCGTTCCAACTACTATAATAATAACAATTATAATAATAATAATTACAATAATAATCCTTGCATTTGATACAGCACCTTATCACGTCTTCGAGACGTCTCAAACCCCTCCACAGAATATACTGTAAAGCAAATTGCTTGTATATTTTTGTGGACAGAACACGGCAGCCAATTGTGCACAGCAGTGTCCCAACTCTGTGATTGATAGCTAAGTCTCTGTGGTCCTCACTGCCCAGTTCCTGCCCTGTTCCGGCTTGCTGCTCTCCCCCACACCCCCCCCCATCCCCCCCTCTGCGAGCGGCCATTAATCAGCGTCACTGGCAGCACTGGAGAGGTGGCTAATGTTGATGGAAAGCCCAGGCTCCGGGTATCACAGTATATAACCGAGAATAAAATTTACAAAAAAAAGGAGAAGAGGTCGGAGCAGCTCGGGCTTGGTTTCGAAGCTGTTTTTCCTGCTGTTTCCTATCCAACACAGACTTTCACAATTTTCAAAAATTCCTGTGCAATTTTGACTTTAAGGACAATGGTTTCATTATTATGATGAATAATGATGATCATCATTATTAATGGTAATTATCATCATTATTAATAATAACCTTTGCATTTGATACAGTATTTGATCACGCCGGGAGGACGTCTCAAAGTGCTTCACAGGATTCATTTTGTGGGCGAAACGCGGCAGTCAATTAGAGCACAGCAATGCACAGATAGCCATGAAGTGACTGACCAATCTTATCTGTGGAATTCTTGGCCAGGACACCGGGAGAGACTCCTTCTCCTTTCAAGTAACGTCACCGGATCTTTAACATCCACCTGAACAGGCAGACGGAACCTCGTTAATATCTCATCCAAAGGACAGCACCTATGACAATGCAGCACATCCCCAGCACCGCATTGGTGTGTCAGCTTAGACTATATGAGATCCAAGCCCCAAAGTGGGGCTTGAACCCACAACCTTCTGACTCAGAGCGAGAATGCTACCCACTGAGCCAGGTTGGCATCAGGCGAGAGAGTGAGGCACTCTGAGTCTCAGAGCCTGTATGTGGAGCAGGCAGTACCTGGCGTGTAAATAGCAATGTCACCGAGGGACTTGTGTGGCACATGACACATTGTCAGGCAATTATTCATCCAGCTTCTGCTAGAAATTATTTGTTGCCAAGTGCAAGTTATGAGACATACGTTTGAGGGATTGGGTTTCTAAGCTTGGCGGTTTGTTGGACCTCACTGTGTCAGTGCGCACTGCACCCTGGGATTAATATGTTAATAAAACATTACACAGTTCATAGCTTTATTTCTCTATCTGAGATTATTTAATATTAAACCAGGTAAATGATTGTGTTCTTACTGCAGATCAGAGCTCAGAGTGAGCAGGAGACTGCGAGTTGGTTGAAGAGCCTGGCTCAGATCGCTGCTGTGTTATTGGAGTGTTCCTCATACTCCTGTAAGTAAAATGTTAAAGACTGATTTACAGTTTGTGTAAAAGTTTTGGACAAAGTCTCCAGAGACTATTTAGATTCAGAGCCACATTTTGACCTTTGAGTTGAGGCCAGGTTTGAGTGTCAGAGGAGACCGGAGGAGTGACCGTGGATGTTCCTCTCTCTCTCTCTTTGTTAAGATTACAATCAATGTAAAAGGTGCAACAGTTTCTCCAGAGGACACACCTGTACTGTTAAAGTGACTTAAACCAACTCTCCTTCTCTGCAGTAAATATTGATTGAAGCGACATTATGTTCACACCAAACGCTGAAACCTAAAGCTCTCAGCTGACTGCCTAACTATTGCTACTAAATGATGAAGCTGGGTATGTGGGTGGATAGGTGTCAGATGCCGTTGAATAAGAGAAGTATAAATTACGAGAAAGAACATGTATTTTTATAGCTGTTTAACGGGTCAAAGATGCCTCAGAGCACTCAAAGTAATTAGTGTCAGGTGTAGTGACTGTTTATTTTGCAGGCGATGTGGCAGTTAAATGTATGACCCAGTGAGATGAGCAGTCATTTTACTTGGAGGATTGTTGGCCAAGACAGGCCGCCTTCAAGTTGACAAAGGGGTTTGCAATGTTCCTGGAAATGAGAAGGAGTCGAGGTTATTGATGAGTGAAAGGATTTGTTCAGGAGGTTGGACAGGGAGCAAGATTGTCTTCATCTCCTGAAGATATCACATTGAACTGAATTCAAGCAAAGCCTGTTTATTTTAAAATTAACAATGATTCACTTTGTGCTTTCAATATATTCTATGTTTAAACCTCTCAAAGCAAAACTTTTAGCAGTTATCAGAATAAAGATCCTGCGGTGCTGCTGGAAAAGGGAAGGGAGTTTCTCTCTCTCTCTCCCAATGTCCTGACCCACCGTCCCTCAGAAAACTCATTCATTCATGGCTGTTTGGGGCACATTGCTGTACGCAATAGCTGCCGTGTTTGCCTACAAAATACAGTCACTATAACCTTAAGAAAACTCTGTGAAGCACTTTGAGCTGTTATGGCGTCGTAAGGCACATTCACAAATGCAAAGATTATTAATAACAATATTTCAAACCCTTTGTGATGCCCTGAAAATATATTGCACTTTATGGTGCTGGGTTTGGGACTCGGATTTACATGTCAAACACATGTATATTTGCCCACATTAACTGAGGTGCCTGGGCAGTGCAGCTGATCTTATAATCCTCATCCTCAGATCGCCACTGCTTCCCTTCATTCCACCACACTGCTGATGTCATTAGGAACGGCGCTTGGGTTTGAACATGCTGTTGAGCTTTGGTTATAAATAGAAATTTCAATGAAATATGACCATCTGTACCGGCCAGAACTGTAACTCATTCTGACTACCTGTGTGTGAGTCATCCAATCACAGGTAGAATGTTTAGCCTTTCCTCACTTTTGGACTGACCTATTTTTGGGCTAAATCCACTTTCTCTTGATTAATGTTTCCTGTGCTAAATTCTGCACGTTTACAATTAATGGCGACACATCAAAGTTACTCTGCTTCTCACCTCACTGAGGGAGCCAGGACCAACACGGACTCAGTCCAGTCGCCAAGAAAGAAGGGGATTGTGTGTGGGGGTGGGGGGGGGGAATGGGAGAGTGTGTGGTGGGGGGGAGGGTGGTGGGGAGTGTGTGTGGGGAGGGGAGAGGGTTTCAGGGAGCTGGCCAGCTGGCAAATGTGTCTGATCCCGGGTTGAAACCCTGTTATATTGCTTGCCTAAAGTGGGGGGGGGGGGGGGGAGTGTTGATCCAGCGGGATCTTACCTTTGACTTTAACACAAAACTCCTGAACTCCCTTCTCACTCTTGTTGTCCTTGTTGCGAGCCGTGGAGTGAGGAACCTGGAAATCCACTGGGATGTGAGCCTGGCCTCAGCTGGAGTTCAGTTCCGCACGTCAGCACCTTGAGAGTGTTGTCAACCACAAAACTCATGTCCGACTGTTCACCATCTGCCTCGCTCATCTGCGAGGGCAGCAAAGCTCTGGGGAAGGCACAGGCATGAAGAGCTGCTCCCAACACCCCCCCCCCCCGGGTCTTTCCAGCACCCACCTGGACTCTCCTGTCTCCCCCTGATAGCCAATCATAAGAACATAAGAATTACTGGGCGAAAGAAGACCAAGGTCTATCCAGTTCACCTTCCACCATCCTGGCAGTCGCTTGACATGTCGTGTCCCAAACTATACACTGTATCCCCAAATATTATTTCTTAACAGAAATGGATCTAATTTGTTCTTGAAAGAATCAACACTTTCTGCTTCTACCATCTCCCAACAGAGCCTGTTCCATACGTTCACTACTCACTTTCTGAAGTAGTGTCTCCGCAGATTTGTTCTGGATTTACCCCACCTTCATTCCTGCCTCTGTTAGCACTATTTCTCCTCATGTAGTTTTCCCATTTTCAATTAAATGTTGTTCTTGACTCGGCTTCCACAGCTCTCTCCGCTCTGTACTCTCCCAGCCCTCACTCACAGTGTAAGCGGGCGTTCTAACCTCCCCTGTTTTTTTGGCAGTCATGTTTGCATTTATAGCATCAACTTGTACTCAGATTCCCGTCATTGGGGTGACACCAGCTGCTTAACATCAAAGCTCCTGAGAACTTGTGCCCAAAGCTTTCTTCTCTCTCTCTCTCCTTCCAAGGACTGAAATAGGTTTGTGGGAAACTAATGCTTGTTCAGTCAGAGGAACATCACATTTCATTTCCCCCCAAAGATGCCTCTGAGTCTGAATCAACCTGGAAATATCAACCCATCTCTCAGGGTCGGTTGAAAGTTGGAATCTTGTATGGAGTCAAACCACTGATCTCTCTCTCTCAATCCTGACTCTGAGTGTCTGTGTGAGTGTCTGTGTATGTGGGTGGGTAGGTCGGGGAGGAGGGGTGTTTGGGGGGGGTTCAAACGTCACAGTGCTTGACAATCTGTTATTGGGGCTTGAGATGTGACTTTGCCTGTATGTTAGTCAGCTCACCATCACTGAAACGTTGCAGAGAGGTGACAGAGCCAAAGCCGGCAGCTCCAGTCCTCGGCCCGACTCCAAAAAGAGGGAACAAACAGAACAGATCATCACAAGCAGGAGGGAGGGTTACAGATAACTCGGCCAATCACAGGATCCAGAACATCTATTCTCACCAACCTTCGAATTTGACAGTGAAAGTTGGTTGCCACATCCACCTACAAAATACACAGTCACTGCACCTTAGAATATATCCTGTGAGGGCACTCCCCAAATGAAAGAGGCTGTATCGAATGCGAGGATTAATATGATTATATTGTGTCATTGATGAGAATAACTGGATAAAGGGAACATCTTGCTTGTGTGATTAGCTGGGGGCTTGAGCAGATATTCCCATTAAACCAAGGTTCGCTCAGTAAGATGCCCGGATATCACTGGGCACTGCACTTTCTCACAGCGACGGCTCTTGTAGTGGCAGCTGATGGTCCTTCCAGATGTTTATCTGGTTACAGCAACTGACCCTCTTCAACACATCACAGTGAGACTGAGTCTGACTCGATGTGCCCAGTCCTCTCCCGCCAGCTCGGGTGCCAGTCGCTAGTGCCCTAGTCTCTGGATTGGAAGGATTTGAGCTGACTCTATGAATGAGACGTTAAATCGAGGTCCCGTCCGCAGCTGTTCGGGGGGACTTTATCCATCCAGCGACACTATTAGAAAAGAGACGAGAGCTCCTGCCAATGTCCTGACTGACAATCCCCCAGAGGTATTGCTCATTCACCTCCCTGTTGACTGAGGGGCCTTGCTGGTGCAATGGCTGCCACGCTTGCCCACAAGAGCAATGACTGTGGTGGGGGGTAATTAGCCCTAAAGCGCTCTGAGCCTCTCTCTGTGATAAACTACCTTCCTTTCTCTAGTGCTGCCGATGGGGGAATCTAGGTCAGTGGAAGTTGTAGCCGAGCTCAATCGGACACTTCTCAGGCAAAGAAACTGAACGCGGCACAGAGGCAATCACAGTTTTGGGGCCGAGATTCACATTAGTTTAATGTGCAGCTCAGCTATTTCACAGTGTAAGCTCCAGCCTGCACGTGCGATTGCTCTCAGTGGGTACCAGTAATTGTGAGGCTGCCTGTGCATTCCTACAGGCAACGGTAACTTAATTACCATGAGTACCTGAATACCTCCTTCATTAACGTGGCCAGTGTCGCTTTTACTGTTCCCTCTGTGTCAACACGTTCCAATTTATTGCTTCCTCCTGTCGTTTCAGAGCCTGTGCTGACTGAGGGACCTGCACATTCCAGCCCCAGATCCCAGCTGCTGGCCCCTGCACTACATGGTAATGTTTCCCACTGCCGTTTAATGTCTCTCTCGCTGACTCCGCAAACCTTTAATGGATTAATAGGTTTTTAACTCACAGCCATATAAGGCTGAGCGCTGTTTGAGAGATTGACGCGAGGTGGGGTCATATCTGCTGGTGAAATTAATATGTTACTGGTCTGGAGATGTGCCCAGTAGCCTCTTTCCATGATGCTCTGCGCCGCACACAGCTGTAGTTCTTGTGCTTTCTTCGGTGTAAGAACATGAGCCGGGCTGTGTGTGTGAGAGAGCGTGGGAGCAGCTCAGAGCGATATCTCATCGCTGATGCTGGCGAAAGGTGCTTCTCGCTCAGTGTGGCATAGACTGAAATTACCCTGGGCTTCAGCAAGGTCAGTCTGAGCTTTAACTCTTTCAGTCCTGAGTTGAGCGATTAAGTGGTTGGTCACTAAATGGTGGAGTCACTTGACGTGTCTGGATTGTTACTCGGTGAGCTGGTGGTGGGGGGGGTCGGCAGTGATCATGGGCCGGGTATTTAACACTCGTCACTCCCTGGGGGTTGTCTGCTCTTCCTGATCAGTTCCACTTTATGCCGATTGATCCCTAAGGGTTGCATTTGGACTCTTTCAGAACATTTATTTACACTAAATATTTATGATTGGCAATAAGGGAGAGCGGGGAACATCAACTCAGGATGATTACTAGCAGCAGAAAGTGGGGAGGTTAGAGGCTTTCCTTTACACAATGGGTTATTGGGCTGTGGGAAATGCCACTGCAAGTCCTGTTTAACCTAATCAATTATCACATTTTGAAAAGTCTTTAGAGAAAACACTTGAGGAGTAAAAATATTAAAAGATGTAGGGAAGGAACACGGGAATGGAGTTAGAGTAGAGAATTCCAGTGCGGGAGCGAGCCCCAGCACAGACACGATGGGGAGAGAGAGAGAGCAGGGAATGGGGTTAGAGTAGAGTTCCAGTGGGGGAGCGAGCCCCAGCACAGACACGATAGTCCAAACAACCTCCTTTTGTGCTGTCATTTCCATGATTCATTACAGGGTATCATATATTAGAGCATATTATGAAGCAGCAATATTGGTATCCTATTGGTAACTGCCAGAGTGCTCTCAGTAGGATCTGTACCAGTGAGGTTTGTATTACCTCTTGGCTGTGTGCAGTGCAGTGATGGGGACAAATGCATTGAACCCTTGTGTTGTGACATCAACTAAACTCCAGTCATGCCAAGTGATTGGGCTTCACTGCTAACAAACTAATTTCACTGCACATTACACTGCTCTTCAATGTTAAGGATTCTGTGGTGGCTTCCACAATTGCGGGGAGGAGGGGATTGCAGGGGCAGGTGTGGCGGGCAGGTTGTGGTGGGGCAGGAGTGGGGACTGTTGTTGTGGGAGGGTGTGGGGTCAGAGAGTAGGGGCTATGGGTGGGAGGCGTGGTGCGGGGGCTGTGGTTGGAGGAGAAACAGAACTCACAGAGGGTATCTCACGCCCGCCCCCTCCACCCCCCACAAAACCTGATTAGGTGATTCACCAGAAACAAAACTACAGAAATATCAAGTGCAAGGATTATAAATAAACACACAGAAGAATGCCATTCATCCCACCATGTCTGTGCTGGCTCTTTTAGGAGTATTTTTTCAGTCCCTTTTACCTGCCGTTTGCCCCCTCTGCAGCCCATTACTTACTCCTTTGAAGGTATTTATCCAGTTTCCTAGAATAGATTCCCTTGATCTCTTGTTCTAGACGAGGTGCCTTTCTCAGCTCTCTGACCCCCTGTCCTGCTGTGCCGGAGCTCAGTGTATAAACTCGCTGCCAGCCAGTGACTACAGTAAAGCAGAGCTGTGTTTAGTGCTCAGTGCTGTGCTGTGAAGTGCGGACACTATAAGTGCTGTCAGCGTGTTTGTAGCTGGTAATTATGTGAAAGGAGTGGAATTATGAAAATGCATTCTGCACTTCATAGCCCACTTGAATAATATAAATAAAAATCTGCTTCCAATTTGTTTGCATTACGAGTTGTGCCTCCTCGCTGTACTTTGAGCACTTAGATTTGGGGTAATTTTCCTGATTTGATTGTGTGCAGCCTCTCCAGCCCCCGGTAAATTAGCCAGAGACCACCAAAGCCGTGACCTGCTCAAACATTGCTGGCTGCTGTGATGCAAATGACAATGATCGGGGCTCTCAGAGCTGACTCTCTGAAAGGATAATTACACCGCTGATTAAATTGTGTTTCTGATTAAAATAATAAACAATGCTCCGATGGTTAGGTTATGTATTATATTGTGTTAAAGGGACTTTGCCTCTATATCCTCTGCGCTTCATTGATTGGGTACAGAGAGGCTCATGTCACCACCAAATGGCCCAGTTTGAATGTGATGAGGAGCGTTTTTATTATTTCTTTTTAATCTTATTGACGGCCAAACTCACAGCTATTTGTGCACAGCGATGTCCCCCAAACACTGGGTGTTGGTGGCTGATGTGAGGTCAATGTTCAGTGTTGTTTGGATGATTCTTGGCTCTAATCTCCATCGTGTCTGTGCTGGGGCTCGCTCCCCCACTGGAGCTCTCTACTCTAACCCCATTCCCTGCTCTCTCTATCATGTCTGCGCTCCCTCTTGGAACTGTGCAGCGACTAGTTTTATTCTGCTTGTCAACTGTCTTAGGTGCATATTGAGGGCTCTCTCTGCCGTCACATTACGCTGTGAGGAGCTTTCTTCGAGCTAACATCCCTTGGGCTGGTTTGGGCAAGGCTGGACAGGGCTGGGTTGGGCAGGGCTGGGTTGGGCTGGGGAGAAGGCAGGGGGAGAGGAAATGCTGTTCTATGGTGGGAAACAGTCCAAAGGCTAAATTTTCTGCTGTTTCATTTGATTGAGTAAGATATGAGACACAGCTTGCCTCAAGGGCACTATTATATATAAATGTAAATTGTTGTTGAACTCTCTGATGATTGGATGAGATGGTGGGAGGATATCTCCCTGGGGGAGGATTTGGTGGGCCAGATGGCCTCTTCTCATTGTGTCATGTTCTTAAAGAGTGATTGTTGCAAACATTGGCTTTGGTTTTGGTCAGGGATCTGAGGAGCCTGGAAACCTCTGAACTAATTTACTAAAGAGAGAATTGGTGATGTTTCTGTCCGGCTGCCATTGGAGAATGGATGAGAAGCAGAGAGCTCTTCTACATCACAATCCTAATGGCCAATAGAGAGCTCTTCAGTTATCCTGTGATATATATCGCTGTTAATTGGCTAGTAAGAGTACCTTGCCAAGCTCATAAATTAGTTCTCTGTAACAACAGTTGACTCCAGTCAATACTTTCAGCCGTTTATATCTGACAGAATTGACCTGATGTTGAGTAATATGGGAGACCCCTGCAAGTGTTCACAACCTTCGTGCTGTCCTGTGGACGAAATATAAAATCCAGGTCCACATTCCACCCCCAACCCCCTGTTATCTGTTCGGGTGGACATTAAAGCTGCTGAGAAGTGAATTTCTCGCAATGCCCTGTCCAGTAATCCTCCACAGAAAGTTGGTCACTTGCTGTATGTTTGTGGATAACATTGCTGGATGCAAAAATTGTCAGTGATTCCTAGCAAGCACTTTGAGCTTTTTGCATATTCTAGTGGCAAAGTTTGGAATATTGGCTGGGATTTATCAGTGTGTGTGTGTGTGGGGGGGGGGGCTGGGGATCTCCTGTTTTGCAGATGATTTAAATATCAAATCGTCTCTGAATGTTGCACCGTGTGTTTAGCAAATTCCAGGGCGCTCATCCAACCCGAGATACATGTCTCCCTATCTGTGTCTCTCACACTCACCCAGTCTCTCTCTCTATATATAACTGTGTCTCACACTCCCTGTGTCTCTCACATTCCCTCTCTCTCTGCCTCTCTTTGTCTCTCTCTCTCTGTCTACCTCTCTCTGATTCTGTATTTAGAACAATTTAATTTGTGGAAATGAAACAATTGCTTGCACGTGGAGAGTTTATTGCACAATGTGACTCACACATTGAACCAACCCACCCAATGGGATCAGTGGCTCCAATCCCCGTGGTGCTAAATGATATGGACCTTTGAAACAGACCCTCTCAGTAGCAGTGCCATCTTAATTAAATCAGAGACACAATTTCGCTAATGCCATGCATTGTAACTAAAACATAAACATTTAAGCATTTTCTTAATGTAAACGTTGTTATTTGAGAGCAGGGAATGGGGTTAGAGTAGAGAGCTCCAGTGGGGGAGCGAACACCAGCACAGACACCATGGGGAGAGAGAGAGAGAGCAGGGAATGGGGTTAGAGTAGAGAGCTCCAGTGGGGGAGCGAGCCCCAACACAGACACGATGGGGAGAGAGAGAGAGAGCAGGGAATGGGGTTAGAGTAGAGAGCTCCAGTGGGGGAGCGAGCCCCAGCACAGACACGATGAGGAGGAGAGAGAGAGTCAGTGGGGGAGAGTAGAGAGCTCCAGTGGGGGAGAGAGCCCCAGCACAGACACGATGGGGAGAGAGAGAGAGAGCAGGGAATGGGGTTAGAGTAGAGAGCTCCAGTGGGGGAGCGAGTGACATTGAGGTCAGTAATCACCACAGTCACGATCTGGTGTTTGCATCTGATTTTGGTGCGAGCATGTGGTGACTGTTACTGAAACCGGGAGAGGGATTTCACTCAGTCACCTGTAACACTGTGTGTGTGTGTGGGGGGGGGGGGTAGTGGGGGAGCAGTGTGTGTGTGGGGGGGGATCAATGGTTGTATGTGTGTGTGTGGGGTCAGCGTGTATGTGGGGAGATCAATGGTGTGTGTGTGGCGGGGGAGCAGTGTGTCTGTGGGGGAGGAGGGGGTTCAGTGTGTGTGTAAGGGGCTGTGTGTGTGTGTGAAGCTGTGTGTGTGTGGGGTGGTGGTGTGCAGAGGAGGGGTACGGATGTGGACTCACGACCTGCCCACTGATTATCAAATGTAATGATCATATTATGTAACCAACGCACCGTGATTCTGAACAAATTATAAAGCGTTTGTTGCTAATAATTG